TAACACATTTGCATAGTGCTATCCCAACAGCACCCCATATTAATTCTATTACATGACTGGTTACTCGATAGTCCACAACGCGTTCAAGTTTATCCAGGTATTTGCACACCCAGAGCCCCTGCAATATTAAAAATGCCGTAGCCCGAGAATAATTTACTCAATGCACCCAACATAGCCGTAGACGTATGCCATTGCCCCAAGAGAAGTCGTACATCATTATGTTGCTTTTTATAAGAGATTAATCTCCCATAAATAGCCTGATCACAAGCAATGTATAATTTTTCGTTGTTACTGATTTGTAGATCACTCCGATACATTTCACAAGCGGCGTGAACGTTCTTATCCCGCTTGCCGAACACTTCAACCCGGACCAACTCCCCTTAAATATATTTTACATCATCTTCGTCCTCCAACTTGCACAGATCGTACTCGGACGGATATGGGGTCGGACTACGGAACCGACTTCCGCGGCTTCCGACCTCGATTGGCGACTCCGTGATAGTTGGTGATGTTGTTGTTGATAATGATTGTGGGGGAGGAGTCGATGGTTCGGCCAATGTAGACGCTGCCATTGGCGCTGATGATAAAAATGCGGGGGCGTGGAGCCCTGTTGCTGCCGTTTGCTGTAAGAGATAACCTTTGCACCATAAAGAATTTGCCGTAAGTATGGCAATAGTTTTGGTTTCTGGCATATTGATGATATGATATGTGTAAGCCAGATTTTCATTCCAGGGAAGGCAATTGTCAGTGTCGTTTTCGTGGTTTTTTTTGGAAATGACCTTTAAGTGTTGTGAGTGGAGACAAATAAAGTTGTTGTTCTCGTTATTTGATGGCATCAATGTCTTTTTGTTAACAACAGCTAACTGTTTCTGATTTTCTTGAATTTTAGAATATGATGATGCAATCCTTTTCCCCAATGCCTTTCCTGTAATAGATGGCGTTTCTGGCGTTTCTGGAGTTACTGTATAAGTCAAGTCGGCTTTCCCCAATTTCAAAGCAGTTCCAGCCAGCAATTTGTTCGGCCAAATGGCTTCTGATGTATTCGCTTGCAAGTACTGGTTTTAATAACGGGAGGAGGTTTTCTTGCAACTGTCGGTTATTTGACTCTGATACAGACATTATCCATCTTCCTATATCATGTAATGCATCGCGTATATCATTACTATTACGGTGTTCTCCATGTTCTTCACAAGATACAAATTCTTTATTTCTGCCGACTTTTTCACGTAAATGTCCACCCTGTTGCTGAAAGCATTTGTACAGATATAGCGTGTTGGCGGTTCATGTCTGTATGTGTTGTGTGTCTGTTGTGTGTGTGTTGTGTGTGTGTTGTGTCGTGCACGATAACCTGAAGACCCAATTTAGGAGCACGCAGGTTGTTGATGTCAATCGACATCACAATGTCTTCGTAATTATCAAACTGCTCGATGCGACTGTGTGACTCTCCGTACACTTCAGCAAGATAGTCATGATCATCGTCGTAGCAGTCTATTAGAATATATGGGTTAGGCTTTGCGACATTACTTTAGTTATCAATCAGCGCCTAGGCAAGGTACTTGAACGTTATATCCATTAACCTTTGCTGAATGTTCACTGCAGCCAGTACCACGGCTAAAAGAAAACGTTTTTACTGTATTACAGAGAAGACAATTATGACTTAGAACAAAGTCACCATCGACAATCGGATTACGGCTCTTATGTTGTTTAGGATGAAGTTGATTCTGATCAAACATAAAATGTTGGTGACATACTCTGAGTAAATGGCGCCTGTCTTTATTTTTGACTGCATCGTCATCCCCATCTATCTCCCACATTCCTCCAAGTTGACGTATTGAACATAACTTTTCCGTACCGTTGCAGCGTCTCACCTCGCCGTCAAGTAAATCTAGAACTACACATGGGGTGAAAGTTGATGTAGGTGCAATAACTTTTTCTTTTTCTTGCTTTATTGAATAAACCTGGCTAGAAGATCTGTAATATTCATCCCAGTCTATATCATTTTCTTCATCTTCATCATCTTGCAAGGCTCCTGCAAGCACGTTGGAATATGTCTTCTTAAAATTGTCGGTAAAATCATCGCTGTCAGCAAAATCTTCTTCAATGTCCATGTCAGGAAATTCGGAATTGCTCATGTTGTTTAATTTTTATTTAAGCATTCTGTTAGTAATGTAATGGTTGACGTTGTATGTTTCTGTTCTGCCAAGTCGAGACAAGCTAGAAACAAGTCTATTATTATTATGCAAGTCGAAAATTTTTTTGTTATTAAATTTCTTGATGACGTCACAAGTCATATGTTCATATTATTCCATTTTTTGAGCCCTTGCTATTACCTCGCATATTTGTGAATAAAAGTTCCTCGCGATAGCTATTACCTCGCATATTTAGTGATTCCCAAATTATAAAACAAGTAAGTTTGCCCCTTCACATACTGCTGGCATTTTTTTAGCATTCCTTCTTTCTTATGCGTAACTTTTAACTTTCTCTATTAGTGAGTGTCCTGATCGAAACTTCAAATGGTGACATAGTGATCGATCTCTACACCAAAAGGTGTCCTCAAACTTCTTTAAATTTTCTGAAATTGTGTAAAATCAAGTACTACAATTTTTGTTGTTTTCACAATGTGCAAAAGGACTTTATGATTCAAACAGGAGATCCAACTGCTACGGGGAAAGGAGGAGAATCAATCTTCGGTATACTCCATGGTCCACAAAGACGGTATTTCCCAGCAGAGATTCATCCTAAGCTAAAGCATAAGAAAAAAGGAACCGTATCCATGGCCGTTGCCAGCGACGGAAGAGAAGGCGGTGGAGTCAGCGGATCGCAATTTTTTATAACGACCGCTGATAATCTAGATTATCTTGATGGAAAGTATACTGTTTTTGGCGAAGTTGCAGAGGGATTTGATACTCTGGAAACCATCAACGATGCTTACTGTGACGAGTCTGGTCGTCCGTACAAAGACATCCGAATTAAACATACCATAATCCTTGATGATCCATTTCCTGATCCAGAAGGACTCGTGGTACCCGACGAATCGCCTAAACCGAGTAAAGAGATGTTAGAAACAATCCGCATCGCCGAGGATGAATCAATTGAGCCAGAATTACCTCCGGAAGAACTTGAAAAAATGCAACGACGTAAGGAAGCAGAGGCTCAAGCATTGACATTGGAGATGATTGGTGATATTCCATTTGCAGAAGTGAAGCCTCCTGAGAATGTATTGTTTGTGTGTAAGCTTAATCCGGTTACGCGTGATGAAGACATGGAATTAATATTTTCTCGTTTTGGACCTATAAGTAGTTGTGAAGTCATACGTGATAAGAAGACTGGTGATTCGCTTTGTTATGCATTCATTGAATTTGAGAACAAAGAGGACTGCGAGACTGCTTACTTTAAAATGAACAACGTGTTGATTGATGATAGGAGAATTAAAGTAGACTTTTCCCAGTCGGTGTCAAAGTTACATAAAGACTGGGTCGTTTCGAAAATGAAAAAGTTGAGGGGCGCTAGTGGCTACGGTGGTTCGCAAAACTTGGAAAGAAAGTCACGGTATCGTGACGAAAAGGAAGAGACAGAAGAAAAGTATGATATGGTGTTCAATCACGTGGGAGATTATGACAGTGAATTACGAAGACGTCATGCCGATGAAAAGGACAGTGAACGATATCATGATAGAAATTATGACGACGATCTTGACAAGCATAGTGCTAGAGTGTCAGATACAAGTAAAGATCGTGATAAAATACAATCCCGCCGGAGGGATGACAGACCAGCAAAGTACTCATCAAGGCGTTCGAGGTCGGCTAGTCCTCATAGTCCAAAGAGGGACAAATATGATAGACGTGATAGAGATCACAAATACGATAAAGACAGAGGTAGGAGAGGAGATCGTCATCGGTCAAGGGAACTATCGAGGGAACGAAGGAGAGATAGACGGTAGGTACGAGTTTGCGCAAGTGCGGAATAGGTGATATAGAGTTTAGATTCCTCGTTTCGAACGAATAAATGACTTCCTAAGCGTATACAACGCGAGAACAACATGCCAAAATTTCAATACGTGCGATTCAAAACAATGTCTTGCATATTTATATTTCGATTTAATGTATTGATTCATGTTATTATTATCCCAACCTTTCTTTATGGAAAAGCTAAACATCACCTGATTTTAATGTTAATTGACAGTTCTCAAGTACAGATTTTTGGTTTTTTATTCCTTTTTGAAATTGGGTTCCAAAGAAACGAAGACTCTTAAAAAAGCTGAGCAAAAAGACGAAGTAAAACAGCAAATAATAAAGTTCTTTCGATCAATATTTATAGGGTAGTCGGACAAACATGTGTTGAAAAGAATTTCAGTGACGTGATTAAGCGGCTGTCCCAAGCATCATCGTCTAGCAATTTCCCTCTACATCGCAAGACTCTTCTTCATCTTCTTCATCCTCTTCTTCCTCGATCTTAGCCTTATATTCACGGTATCCGGCCATTAGCTTTTCAAATACAGCCTCATCTTCATCCGCTTCATCCACTATCTTCACATTTCCTGCATCGCTTGCTGGTTTTTCCGACTTGGCTATTTTATCTTTGCCGTCAGCTTCCTTCGTTGTTGCATCGGCAGATTTACCCGCAACATCCTGCTTTTCCCTAACAGCCGCCTCAACCTGTTCGGCGAGTTCAGCTTCGAATTGAAGCTTTACTAATTCTTCGTGTTGCTGTTGGAAAGCCTTGTCCGATAACGCACGAGCACTTTTGATTCGTTCGAGTGCGTCAGTGGTAACGCTTGTTATCTCTTGGATTTTAGTCTCGCCAAGCTTGTCTAAGACCTTATCGGTTATTATACCAATAGATTTTTTACTTTGCGCAACATCTGCCTCTACCTGGCTTCTGGTTTGGGATAGCCTATTTGGGTTGGCTTTGGGATATTTTTTGACAAGTGTGTCCAAATTGAAGTTGACTTCGCTCGACTGATTCTCCACATTCAACTCTTCAGCCTCACGTTTGATATTTATCTCTGAGCGGACATTCTCTATGGCTTCTTTGGATTTCTTTTTGATCTCTTTTGATTTCGTCTTTAAGGAATCCATAATTTCTTTGAGAGCAACATTAAGAGCGTGTGTTTTATCAGTCACGTTTTTGGTTGGATCGGCAAGAAGTTTATCGGTATGTGTCTTTATGCTGGATACTTGATTGTCTGCAAACGACTGAAGGTTGGTAATTTCTGTTGCTATTTCACCCATTCGAGCTTTAGCTAAATTTTCGATTTCGGTCTTGAAATCTAAAATAGACAGGCTTGCGGTATCTTGATATCGCTCAAGTTCAGACTTGGCGGCAATGTCGAGAGCTGCGTTAGCTTCTTGCTTAGCCTTTCGCTCAGCCTCTTCCTTGGCTTTACGCTCGGCTTCTTCTCTGGCTTTACGCTCGGCCTCTTCCTTGGCTTTACGTTCGGCTTCTTCCTTAGCCTTTCGCTCGGCCTCTCTTATTTTGCGTTCAGCCTCTTCTTTCGCTCTGCGCTCGGCCTCTTTCTTGGCTCGGGCTTGACGCTCAGCCTCTTCTTTTATTTTGCGTTCAGCCTCTTCTTTCGCTCTGCGCTCGGCTTCTTCTTTTGCCTTGCGCTCGGCCGGGTCTTCGAACAGAATTTCGTATTTCTCCTTGATAAAGTCAATCACAGCAATTATGTGGGGATGTACATGTTTCAAGTAAGCTGGAACGGCGACCTCGCTATAATACTGTTTAGTTTTTTCCCAACCGTCGACTGCTGTTGGTCTTGCGGTGGTATAATAGAATTCTGTCGATTTATCCCATCCTTTTGCCCACACTGGAGACACGTTTTTCTTATACCATGGCAGTATGACAGTCTTGTATTTTAATACACCTGCGTCATAGACAATAACGACTTGTTTCTTCCCTTGAGCTGCATATGGACCGATAGCATGACTGAGCTGACCATAGTATTTGTCTACATGTTCCTTGGCATTGTTGTTGTAGAATTTCTTTACATCGCGCCACAGAAGAGTGGCTGGGATCTTGACATACTCCACATAGTACGAGTATGCTGATTGCCAATACGGTTCAATGGCTGCGTATACAGGCTTTCCGTGAGTCTCATACAAAGGCTGGACCTGTTCTTCGACTGACACTTTCGCGAGAGTAATAGATGGCTCGATGTATTTTTTGAAAAGGTCGTTCTTGAGAATATATCGAGATAAACCATTCGTGCAAATAAATTGGTTTGCCGGTGATGATTCGAGTTCGCTAGGCGTGATATCAGAGCAGACGAGGACAACGTAGAAAACGTACGCGAAGAAGAGACGCTTTAGCGTGATTTGACCTAAGAGCTTGGAAATTGTGCCTTTTGACTTCTTTTTGTTGGACTAACAGAATGAGAATTTCATATGCTTTAGAACAAATTAATTAATTTCCAGTAGAACATCAAACATATAAAGTATTACCTTTGCGCTCTTTTTCTAAATGGGAATAATATGAACAAATTCAAGAGTCAATTAACATCATTTTCAGGTACAATCGCGAAAAACAATCCCAATTGATTATTATGCTAATCCTGACTAGAAACATCTCTTTAAGCGCCAAACAATCAACTGTTTCTCATTTATTTCCCGAGTTCCAACCGACTATTCTCAGACATAATTACGTTTCTATGTTTATCACGACTGACCTTTCCTCTTTCGGTGGCGCTTCCTCCGCCAGTTACCGTCTTCGGCTTGTTTGGAGGTTCTTCAGGCTTTAGATCCTTGTTTTCAGTGTCGGGAGGTGGCGTGGGGGGCAAATCATTTTTCTTGCCGCCTTTTTGTCCGTTTACTGACAGGTGCTGCTCTGACAATTGGGTTTTGTTTTTGGATTTCTTTCCCATGTTGCAAGTAGCTCAAGTTCACCACTTATGACGTCTCTATAATAGTTATATTTTTTTACGTATTCTATATAATCGTGCTATTCAGTTAATTGCTACGTGTAATGTTAGCATGTATGATTACACCCATTCGAAAGGTGCGCCGAGGAGAGGGTTTGTTCAAAAATCCAAGAATTCGCCGGGAATTTTTTTTCTGTTGCTTTTATGTAGCACCAATTGAAGGATTTGGAAATTCGCAAAAAATATCTCAGGGTGTGGGCGTCCTTTATATTAGATGATCGAGTAATGAATACCTGCGCAAATAAACATGTGCCACTTGGAGGGTTGATGTGTACATTGTTTTCTTGGTAACGTAATTATACATGCTTTTTTTGGATCGATTAATTATAGAAATGTCAATTGGAAATGTTTGTGAACGTTCACAATCTTGATACACGAACAGAATGAACGATGTGCCTACTTTAGAATTTGTATAATGATCAGTTTCACAAATGCAAAAAACTGCACGGTGCGCCAAATAAAGTTCGCAAGAATTGTGCAACAACATAAATGAATCTGATAGCATGTGATCGTATGTTGCGCTTTTCGACTGGTGAAGCCGCAATTTGTGAATATGATTGGTGACTAATAATATAAACAAAAACTTTCGTATACGTGGTATTTATTCATACGGCCCAACTTGCCAATAAGTCCGTTTCTTCTGGGCTGATAAATGGTTCTTCAATGGTCTTAATCATGATATCACCGCAAAGAATACATTCCGACGCTACTAAATCGTCTAATTCATCCTAAAATAAGATAAATAATGACGCGATAAATCAATGACATCATCAAGCCTTTAATCAAACGCCCTTAAATGAAGATGTTGTTCTTGTGGGAGGAACTAATTATAATTTAGAACTCAGTTTCTTACCTTCAACTGGTCCACTTTCGGTACGACGACAGCTACATCATCTCCGCTATTAGCGGTCAGATCAGGCAATATCAACCCTTTCAATAGATCTAATCCACCCGCTTGTGTCTGAGGCTTTGCAAGAGGCTTTGCGACTGCATGATTTATATTAGAGATCTCCTGAGCTATTTTTTCTTGTAGCTCGAGAATACGCCGGATTTGACGAGGGTTTAGATGATGTTTAACCTTTCATAATAGAGAATTGATTGATAAGAATGAAAAGGGTAGATAATTGTGATGTGATGTAATTGCGTGACGATTGTGACTATCCCTACTCACTTTGTTGATTAAGCAGTCCGAGTGGAAACCATGTTGACAAGGGAAAATATAAAATTGCCTAGTCAACATTGGAAAGTCACACAACGAGCACTTCTCATTAGTAGAAACGACAGCAAATCTAAGTGCGAAAAGTCGTCAAAATGTTGTTGATTAGAATCGGCCAAGACACATCTCGTACATCCATACATTTCCCTTAAACTCACCGACAACGCAATTCCCGAATATCGTCTCTAATACTTTCCGCGCTTTTCGTCGCCTCTTCCATCTCAGCCTTGAGCTCTTCGATGTGTATATTATAATCCTCTAATGCAGCACAAATTTCATCCTTGAAATCGTCAATAAGGACAAAGTCTGGGAAGAATGGGAGAATATCTTCAATCTTGAGCAATTCGCAGTCATGTACATATTCCATTGCACTATCTCAGTGAGAAAACAATATTTAAAAAGTGTAGATATTAGTTTCACGTAATAACGTGCATCTATACAAGTTCCAGGACTCACGTTTTGATGTCCTTTTTCTTTTCCACCACGTGTCGAGCGATCTTTAGCCAAAGTTTTTTTCTTAAAGCTTCGTCATCTTCTGGTTTATCAGCGTTGATTCTTGCTAATTCTAGGTCGTTATGCTTCATGAATGTGAAGTTGCAACACGGATTTGGTAGGTATCCGTCGCGTTGCATGTTAGTATAATAATCATAAGGCAATTGTAAAAGCCTCTCTTATTCAAACTTTCATATGATATTCCTTTGAAGCAAAATCCTCTTTTTCGACTGACCTTCAATGCTAAATCGACAGCTTCTTCATATAAACCCATATTACTGTAAATATGTACACAACTTTGCATTCTTCCATTCTGACTACAGAGTCTGAGTGCATAGTCCAAATTATAGTGCGGCTTGCGACCCTATGTCGAAGCAACGTTACAATCGTTATAAGCGAAAAAGATTTTAATTTCACATATAAATATGTTAATCTTGTCAATACATAAGCATAATATACCTCTGTAGCCAGAAACTGTAGTAGAGCCGATTCATCCTGAGCAGATTGCGTCGCATAAAGAGTTAAAAGGAAGTTGTGTATCGCAGGGTCCGTGTTATTCAGTTCTCGAACGACAAATTGTAGATATCGTATTGCTTGGTTCTACATGGAGATTCATTGGCATTGTCACATTTTGTCATTCATACTAAAACAAAACTCATGAATCATCATATCGTACCTGAGTAGCGTTCTCTGTGGATTTTGAGTGATCGTATTTTAGCAAAGCAGGTATCAAATTGCGGGGATTAAGTTCTGTCTGTCGCATCCATACATTGACAGTCTCATATGGCGCGTTCTCCATTAATACCGGTGCAAATTTATAGAATAAATCGACGGAAGCCTGTATATTAAAAAATTTTAAAACAGTGACATTAGTTAACATAGCTTCACAATTTAATAGTCCATCGTTCCTATTTATCTACGCCGACACCCGGGCGCGCGGGCCCTACTCTGGTATGTATGTTTCTAGCAAGCTTACCTGTTTACTGAGGACATCTAATGCTTTCTTATAATCCTTCTCTTGAATCCAATGAGAAACGACCTTTTCGTAATCACCAATTATCGTAGCATAAAACAGCAATTCATCCATTCGCCCGTGACTTGCGATAAGATTATAAGTCGTACGTTTATCGAGATTAGCCTGTTCAAATTGAATATGTCTCATTCAATGGGAAGATTCTGATAAGAATTTAAATGTAATAACATTCACTATTCTATTATCATTTACTTTGTATTCATCCAAGAACACCCTAAACTCATCTTCGACAAACTTCTGCTCGGCCAGGAGATTGTTTACTTCATCTGAACCAGCACTGGCAGTAGTCTGGTCTTCTAACATGTTGATTTTATTAAGATAGATTTCTACTAGCCATGTGGCAATCATTGTCCTTTGAATATGATCCTATAGAAAGAAAAAATTTAGCAAAGTCAATGATTGCACCAATATAATGATGTTGACTAGTAGTATTTTTGATGTCAAAGCACAAAGTTAATACCCCTCGTCGCAATTTATTCAATTTGCTCAACAAGTATTCTCTTAGAGCATCTCTTTCATCCCTCTCAACAAATTTTAAAGTGACTTCCTCAAACGCGACTGTTGATTGAGCATATGATTGAGCAGAGAGGATATATCTGCCCTGTGAGAAGTAATAGTCTGCTCGAGTTATTAAAACTTTATCACGTTGAGCGGGATTCTACGTGAAAGCCATAAAGTTGGTTAGGCTCATAACAGATGAAGCGTATAACGTGTTTCCAAATCAAATTACTATGTTGTCCAAAATACCTTGCAATATTGTAATGCAGTATCAAATGCTTGTCTATCCAAGTACAATCTCCATACATCTCTGTCTTCTCTTGTTATTATAAGTTCGAATATGGACAGATCAGTATATATCCAGAATGTATTCTTTACAGTGTCAACTGTCATTGTACGGACTTCCTCCCCTGCTTTCTATTGATCAACAACACAAACGACAAATTTAGTTGCTGTCCCTAATGATCATGCATATCAATTGCGCGATCGTCTATCATTGGATATTTACAAGAGGTATAAGTTCTTCATATACGATCTGATCATTCAGCTGACAGATCGCCCGTATACGTTCTTTGTACAACAAAATAAAATGAAACTCTGTGAGAGCGATCGACAATGGGATCTCGGATACAACTGTAGTAGGGTCTATTTCTGACGGAGTGGCAGGATATCTATATATAGAAAAGCAATATGTGTAATATCAGTTTACCAATAAAGGAGTGAGCTAGAGTACGAGAACGTTACATATTACATACGGTAATAAATGCGCAGAATCTATTACACTATCCCCAACATCTTGAGATCCAAAAACAAGGTTTCCGTGATATATCCCAGGACCTACGTCAATAAAAGATACAGCGTTCTAGATAACTCTGCATGAAGTGGGGTTCATCGTGAGTCGTAAATACTCACCTGTGAGCCATGCGAACGTCTTTGGAGTTCCTTGATATTGAATATCCTGATATGGTGTAAAAAAATGGAGCTCACTGTACGGCAGATCACCGGGTAACTCCTGAAATCCTATATAATTGCAAATCTCATTATAATATGTAGCAAGAGTTAAAAAAACAAAATCACATTCTTTATTTTTTTACCCGGATTGGTTTCATATTTGGCAAACAAATTTCCAAACATTGACGCGCCATCGTAATCAGCCTTGGGTTGTGCCATTCCAATAAATTGATATATTCTCGTTGGCGTGGTTGCAACGATAAAGTATTTGCGTGGTGTTACTGTAAATTGTTCGAATCTGAGACCAGTGATCGGGAGGTTTTCTTGTATTGAATAGACCTATGAGATGAATAATGATAAAAAAGCAATTGCCGACAATATAAGATTAACATATGGTACGAAGAATAAAATAACGTTTTGTGCTCCTTAAACATGTTGAACCTGTTTGCAGAACTTTTCTTCTCGTTTAAAATACTCATCGGTAGGCTCAATCTCGGCCTCAAAAATCAACCCATTCCTTGTACCAATCAGTATCTTTTTAGTAGATGGATCTGACGATGTTCCGGCTTCCTTATTCCACGCTACAGATTCAATTACGATTCCCTATAAAAACAATAGATAAAATTCTTAGTCTTGACATTCAATCAAAAAACGACGGCATCTAATGACATTAAATTCTCAATTGATTAATAAATTAACCTTGAATTTTGATAGAGGTTTTGCTTTTTTCCATTTTTCAAATAAATAGAAATTTTCTCCTTGTTCAGTTGTAATTAATAAATGCCTCCCAGTCGGGTCAAAAAATGTTTTATATATCTTCACTTCAGTGTGCTTCCTTGGGATTTCGATATCTGTTGTTAAATGAATTCGTTAGTAATGGTTTTGTAAGACAATAGATTAAAACCAATCAGTCGTTAAAAAATCGTCCGAGTCAATTCTAAAAGGCAATATTATTGGAATGGGAATGTGTGAAAGCGAGACGTGAAAACAATGATAACAATAAGGGCAAAGTTTGTTACAACTATTATTATTTCTACACATACCACCTAACGATATTGTACTTATAATTGACCCTAACATCATCTCCAAATGTTCGCAACCTCACCTTCGACTTCATGCACCTGCTGTAAGTCGATCCTCAGAATATGATTCGTTTCCAATGCCATTATCAACATCTCGTTCGAAACAGCCATCGTCCGTAATTGAGCAGGAAATTGGAACTGAACTCTGTCTAATGCAAAGACGCGTGAATCGTCTTCGGCTAGGCCCATACTGACAAAGCCAGTCTCAAGCTGTAGTACAAGTCGACAAATCATTAAAATTAAAACGAGTCGCAAAATTACTCAACACAAGCTGGTAAGAAGATAAAACTTGCATACCATAATTGGATCAGACGGTTCAAAACCGACAGAGTCTACGAAAAACGAGCTGCTACCGTATGACGGCGTTGGATCGTTCGATTGTTCAATGAAATCATCGAATATTGACATTTTCTCACTTAATAAATTTCAGTTCGTAATTAATTTATTTTAGTTATAGGAAGTTTGTAATAATAAACAAATAAATAGTCAAAGAATGAAAAAAGTCTCAAGGTGCTTTTTGTGTAATGTGCAATTTGATTATCAAAACGGGTAATTATCACGTGATACAGTCGCGAAGTAAGTTCAAGTATCATCTCACGTGTCCATTTTCGCTCATTTTCTACATCCTCCCGTCCCCACGTCGTGTGCCTACTCGCTCTTTCCTATCATCATTCAGTCCGTATCCACCTCTTTCGTTCGTTTCTGTCTCGCAGCATCATGAAGGGCAAGAAGAGTGTATCCCCATTATCACCTACTCTTGTAAAATATCTCCACCCTAGAGTAGAACCAAAAATGGCAGAAGGGATGACTCCTGAAGAGGCTTGGCGGGATGTAATCAAAGATGTAGCTGTGGCATCCCTCTCAAGTAAACCATTAGACATTTTTGCCGCTGCAATATGTCGACTAGCAGAGCTAGACGACAACGGACGCCTTCAGATTATTGATCGATGTCTCACTATATGCCCCGTACCTGAAGCGCCTCCTACCGATAAAGCTGCTCAAATAGAGGAATTGCTGTTAGAAATGCTCGTGCCAGAGAATACTTCAGAATTGAGGGGGACCACGTCGGTGGAGATAGATTCGGAATTTCTTAGAGTCATGACGAACGTTCTCGAAAACTCACATAAGGATTGGAGCAGTGCACGCGAATTCCTTCAGAGGTTCTTTAATGATTGTAAGACTAAATATATTCCAGACCTGGAAATCTTTTATTTGTTTCCAAAAATGCCAGAAATGGCACGTAATTTGATAATAGAACCAGCTGAGGCCAAGAATTTGGAACGTTTATTTGCCTGTTTACAGGAAGCATGCGCTGTGAAGGGCCTACGACTCCGAGAATTAATCAAGACAAAAATATCCGGTCGTGACTACGAATGGTTTGATAAACAAGCCAGTGTGATATTTCCAAATGGTATTCCTTCCGATCCCGAACCTAACATAGACTATATTCCTCCCACGAAAATCGACACCTCTTTACCGTTTACTAAAGAGCGTGATGGTCAATTAATGCGTTCCGGCCGACTCAAGACACAACAACAACTCTTGCGGCCTCGTTGGCATAATCAACAACACATATTACTTCTGGCTCTGCGTAGACATCCGCAACATAGAATGACGAGAAATGAACTTATCGATGCTGCTTTACAATTGGATGAGAAATGGAGTAGAGAGACTGGTTTGCCAAAATGTTTTACGGGCTTGGTGAGTTGGAATTAGCAGTCGATCTGTTGATTACAGTTTTATTTGGAGATTATTTGACTATGACTACTCATTGTGTATTCCTTGTATAATAAAATAAGACGCCGCGCAATTCAGCAAGTGCCTGTTTGACGACGAATGCTGACAAATATTTTACAGCTATTAAAGTGGATAATGTAACGACCTATTACAAGCTATCGTTCAAACCAAATGACCTTGACGATGCAATTGCTCGTTACAAAAAATGGGTGAAACAACTGCAAGAACATGATTGGCCGTTGTGTTTTGGTAGAGTTCTCAAGGGGAAAAGAGGTATTGCATAAGATTATTTCTTTATGCTCTAATAAACTCGAGACCCTAAACACTGCTTACTTAATAATAGGTCAGGATCTTATGAAAAATCAACGCATTATAATGCTAAGTGTCGGTGCGAGCAATCCTGCCCATTTACGATGCAGGTACTGTGGACCTGAAAAAGATGGTTGTAGTAAGGAGTTACCAGCATGCGCACGGTGCAAAGCTAAAGGACAGTTATGCATTTATCCATTACGTCCGGACGTACACAAAGAGACAGAGCGACAAAAACAAAAGTCAGAACAAAATAGTTTCTTGTCCAAGAAATCACATAGTGACGGGAGATCGGTGAATTTGAGGGCCAAAAGAGTGTCTGAAGAAAAGAAGGCCAGGAAGAATGGTAATGGATCATCATATGAAATCGAGTTGCTTGAAAACATTCAAGAAGGAATGGATTTGTCAAACGTGCCAAAAAGATTATGTGACGTGGTTGACGTTAGACCCTCAAGCATCCCGAATGCTGGTAACGGACTCTTTGCCAAACGGAACATCCCCATGGGAACGCCTCTCGGATTCTACTTTGGGGTCCCGATGATGGAGGATGAATTTGATCAATACAAAGATAAAGTAGGGAAAGCATCTCACTATTCAATGAGATATCGTCATACTATTCTAGACGCCACCAACGATGTTGGTGAGCCGTTCACAGATCCAAACGGAAAAATATATTGTCCCTTTCATTTTATGAACGAAGATCCCTTTGGCAACATGGTATTTCTAGAAGGATATGAGGTAAACCAAGTCATCTGTCTGTCGAAAAGAGACATTAGGAAAGGAGAAGAATTGTTTGTTTATTATGGTCATGAAGTTGATAGAGCGCATTGGGGTCAACAAGAGAGCGAGAGTTCTGATAGTGATGAGGATGAAGATGATGAATCGGAAGACGAAAATGAAGATGAAGAAAGTTTAGTGGAAGATGACAGTGGCGAAGAAATAGGAAAACGTAATGGTCGACGTAGTGGTAGACGCAACGGAAATAACGGCGACAGCGGGCATAGAGAACGAATATGGCTTCGTGGGACAAAAAGGAAAAGGGGAAATAATGGCGAATCACGAGAGTTGAGTAATAAATCAAAGAGAGTAAAACGACATAGACTTTCTACGATAACACCGGTTAGTGATGAGTATGAAACAGATATAGAAATTGGGTTAGGCCCTAGTCGTCGTGACGACGACAACAAGATGGAAGTAGATGAGGAAGATGAGGAAAAAGATGAAGAAAAAGTTGACGAAGAAGAGGGAGGTGAAAGAAGAGGAAAAGAAATAGTAAATACGGAAGAAGAGGAAAGAGAGGATGAAGAAAATAAAGAAGAGGAAGAGAAAGAGAAAGATGAAAGATTGAACAAATCGGAGGACATTGTAAATGACGATTATGTAGAAGTAAAAATAGAAGAGTTGGATTAGAATGTACTTCAATTATATAGTTTGTTCCTTTAATGAGGTGTTGCATGACTCTATGTGATTGTATTTAACCAACGTGCAAAGCCGACCAGAAATAGTCGGCCTGAATGCTAGATTTTATATTCATCTCGTCGTAATCGACCGCCTGGGTATTTACTCATCCATGAGAAATAATTTTATCCAATGTATTATATGGAAATTTAATTTGCAGTTTACCTTTTAAAATAAGATGCACATGGTCTTTGAAATTCCATGATTGTTCACGTAGCAATACGCCGCGTCGATGATATTGGACTATAGTCGACAAATGTCACTTGTTCAAACATTTCCCTTATGCTTTCGTTTTTGGCGACATAGGCCCACGCTATACAATAATGCGCGGACAGCAGACGCCATTCCTCAATTTCATCAAGTAGCTCCAATTTTGATATTCTATAAATATCAACATGAAGGCGCCATTAAATTATCATATACGTTGTAAAACAAGGCGCAATGATTGCATACCTTTCCAATTCATGTGGATCGATATGACTATCATGCAGTTCGTTAATATCTATAGCTTCAGCATGCGTCCAACCTCTCTTCAAGAATCTTTCTTTTTGACTCTCCAAACTCGGATACGCGCAGATGCCTCGAAGTTCAATGTTCCTCATTCTCAAATTCTGTAACATTACTGACCCGAACGCATCACCAGGAAGGATTTGCTCGTACACAACAAACACGGCCGCGCTCATATTCTCTCCAACCCATCGTACGATTTTATCGGAATCTTCCGGCTCCATATAGATAAGCACGCATTCTGAGAGAAATAAAGTTGGTAAACTGTGATAGGTGAGAGTTGGTGTTGACTGTTGGTGATTAAGCGAATGATGATACTGTGGTAGGTGATAGCGAGAACGGAGAAGGAAAGGATAAAAGTATAGTATTCATAATCTTGGGTGTTAGCGGACCTTGTATCAAAGCCATGCTGGATTAGCCGGTCGACTACATGGTTGGTGAATTCTCTTAGATCACCGGCAATCAAGCAATAATCGTCCGCGTAAAGTTCCATACCACTCATACCTAGAGACGTATAACAGTAGATCTAAGCAATACCTCGATCGCATTTTTAAAAATCTTAACAAAAAAAAATTCCTAACCGAGTCGTGCTGATTCACCCAATAATGTATACATTTGCTTGTGTCTACGAATAATTGCTACCTTCCTACTCGTAATCTCGGGATAATCGATTTCAAAGTATTTATGAAATGGTCGAGATCTCTCCTGAACCAAGTAATCAGTCAGCCCATGTTTTAAAATTGCCAAAGACTCATTACGCTCGCATGGGACTATTTAATAATCTGAATAAATCAAATCAAACCTTGTATGAAAAATATCGCGTATCCGATCCGGCGCCGAGTGATACAACTTGTTTCTTGACATTCCCAGTTTCCAGGAATTTCGTTATCAACGTGTCTAGTCCGGTAGTGCGTACGTAGGTTCCTAAACAGAAGTGAGTATAAAATGAGTGATCGAGACAATAGACGGGTATTTAAAAAATTCCTTGTCGAAAACCTCTGTTGATTATAGGGGGACGCCGAGGCGGTCGTTTGACAAAGTATTTCACAAAGTTATCAGAGATATAATCTGCCTGCACAGCCGACCTTGAAATGATTCATAAAAGAAATATTATCTAATGAGCATTGCGATTGCGCATTTGGGGGGGGTGGGGGGAAACTTACGCTTTGCTAATGACTGCATCATCATTAGTACTACGAACTGCTTCTTCTTGTTCAGAATCCATGCCAGTTTTGAGGATATGAAAATAGAATTTTATTATTTTAAATTTATAGTTATTCACGTGGTATGACATCAATTTTTCTGATTGAAAATCAAAAGATCGTAAACATTTTTTAACATTATTTCGACCATTTGTTTCGCCTTTGCTTCCTCAAAAGCCAATGTCCGCGCAAGGCAAAAAAGCTTTTAACACATTAGGAGGAATGTTACCAAAAGGAGGTGGCGGCAGCCCTAGAGGCTTGTTCGCTGGTGTTGGTGCAATAGCTACGCTCGGTGCTATTGGTCTTGGAATTAATGCGAGTTTATTTAACGGTACGAGTTTATAAAAAGGCAATAATTAAAACCAGTAGATGAAGCCACATTTAGTAGAGCTTTTGTATGGGGCGAAAATAGTTACGCGTTCTAAGCAGAATAATTACCATCCCTCATGGATCAAAATTATTTATTATAATGTGTCTGTCTTTTTAGTTGATGGTGGTCATCGCGCAATAAAATACACTCGCCTGTTTGGAGTCAAAAGGTTTATTTACCCGGAAGGCACTCACTTCATGCTTCCATGGTTTGAGACGCCAATCATTTACGATGTGCGAGCAAAGCCTCGGAACATTGCATCTTTGACAGGGACAAAAGGTATGAATCGGGATGCGTAAATTACAAATTTTTGTGACTCCTGTTCTAATCAGATTCCTTCCCTTCTTTTTTCAACTCCATGTAGATTTACAGATGGTTAATATTACATGTCGTGTGCTTTCAAAACCAAAAGTTGACGCTCTTCCAACTATTTATCGGACTCTGGGGACTGATTATGATGAGAGAGTGTTGCCGTCAATTGTGAATGAAGTCTTAAAGTCAGTTGTTGCCCAGTTTAACGCATCTCAGTTAATCACAATGCGTGAAAAGGTAACGAAGGCGTTTTGTTGAAGGAACACTTTATTTGATTTTGTCGGATATCATAAATCTTACCATGCGTCAATTATTGCGATTAACACAGGTCTCACGACTGGTCCGAGAGAATTTGACTCGTCGCGCATTACGATTTAATATTATTTTAGATGATGTATCTATAACGCATGTAGCATTTTCTCCAGAATTTACGCATGCAGTAGAAGCAAAGCAAATTGCACAACAGGAAGCTCAGCGGGCATTCTTCGTTGTAGAGCGTGCTAAACAAGAAAAACAATCAATTATAATTAGGGCTGAGGGTGAAGCTAGATCAGCAGAATTAATCGGTGAAGCTATTAAGAACCAGCCAGGTTTTATTGAGCTGAGAAAGATAGAGACGGCACGCGATATTGCATCAATATTGTCACGCTCTCAGAATCGTGTACTACTTGACTCTGAGACTCTATTGTTGAACTTGGCTGACAATAAGTAATATTTAGTCGACAATAATGTTTATCTGGAGATGTTTCTCTATGTTTATAAATGTTTCTCTTTGTAGGGATCAAAAGAAGAAGAAAGAGAAAAAGAAAAAGTAACCTGAATCGTGATTGTTTGCAACAAGTGTGACTAGACTTGAGAAAAATTTTTGTTGGATAATAGGAAACACTTTTCTGAGCTATTTCGACTTTAGAAGTCAACGTCAATCATGATTCATTCACTGTCGTATAATATATCGATGTTCTTTCTCTATCCGCAATAGTAACGCTCAACATAACAAAACATCCGTTCTATAAATGCACCTTCCTTTGCGTGGTAAATCCTTCCTGTCTGATTCAAAACACGGCGTCCTGCTTATTATAGTTCCAACATTCTGTAAACAAGAATAGAACCGTTATTCGAATAAGTTGATTCGCAGTCGAAAGTGTATGGTACTTGAAACAGAGTGTTTTATTCGAAAATAGATTTAATATAGTTGACAAGGAAAACTTTATTAACCTCGCTATTGATTTCTAACTATATATCAACACAGCGACTAACACTATGCTGACATAGTTTTTGTGCCATGCAATCACGTCTTTGTTATATGATCGATTGTTTATTTTACTATCCAGTAAGAGTATATGTTAGCTTAATTTATCTTTAAATAGTTGTTATTCTAAAGAATAAATTGGGACAGCAACGTGCTTGATCCTTAACAAAGGACGTATAATAACAATTCTATTTGCACGAGTGCTTATTTCACCTCTCAACTATACGGTATCATATTAGTTGTGATATGTATTAGTATAGCTTGGAAATAAAATTGTTTAGAGAACAACGCGTGTTTGTGGGGTGCTAATGTTATTAAGTAAAAATTGCAAGTCGTATTATCTATCACAAATTAATTGTTCGATCAACCATACAGAATACGAGAAAACTATTATACTAGACAGAATTACTTGATTAAATCGCCGTTTACACTCTGCATGTCTCATTAAATTGACCTGACTAGAATCAACTGTATTTATTAGAGCTATGAGGTAGACAAGAGTAATTAGAATTCTTACTCAGTGAAATAAAGCATTCATAATTTTTGATATTCAGAATTAATAACTACAACATATTTATTACAGATGCGTGCAAACAGAAAATTGAATTGATACAAAAAGGCGAATTCGGATCTATTACAAAAAAATAATAATTTTTTATATGTTTCATACCGTCTATTTTTAACTCCTCTGCCAGCATGGTGATTGTCAAGCAAAGCACGACTAGTCTCGTCTCTTGTTGATGCTTTCGTGAGGTTATAGCGATATGTTATTAATGTAATGCTTAATGTAAGTTTACAAAAGTAATAGTAAATTTATTTCGTGTCTATTTTGTCGCGTTTGAGGACATACCAAATAAGCTTTTTGTCATTGTGTGCCCATAGTAAACCGTTGGTTTTTCATAAGTGTTGCTCATCGACTATTTGTTCATAATAATAAAGATAAAAGGCATAAATTTTAATGGTTTGCAATACACTTCTTTGATATCTTATGAAAAAGAAGTCTGTTTAGGCTGACGAGGAGCCGATTTCCTTACAAAAATTTGTTATCTTTGCTTGATGTGAAGTTTTGTTAACAACAATAAGTTTAATGTAGACGTACGTCATATACAGTACTGCAACCACTTTACGCTTTTATAGACAATTAATTACTTATGTTTTGGTACACGCAACCATGTTCATGCATCAAGGCCTTCTATTGTCATGAATAAGACACTAAAGATAGTCTTCTAAAATAAAATAATTTTGTATATTAATATTAATTAATATAAAATCCTCGTTATACTGTATCACAGAATAATAATATTCTTCTGGAAAGTGGAGATCGTGAGATGGTAATCACGGGACATATTTTAATCTCATAATTGACAATCTTTAATCTGTTTATTATTATAACTTAAAGATTAAATCAGACGAATTTTGCGACCAAGGCTTATGAACCAAAGTACTACAAAACGACTTCAAGGACAGCAATCAAAGAGTATTCGTCGTCATACTCAATCAACGCGTGTACCAGACGACCACGATAACGATTCCTACTCTTCAACGGAAGAAGCAGATTCCGTTATTGCCAGTCGCCTATTCGGTGAGGCCTCTGTTAATTCAAAAAAGTTACGAACTGTAAACAACAATACCGGCAATGAAAGCGACAGAAACAGTGAGAGTTCTCCATACAGAACAGGCACAGGGACAGATTACAAACTGTCCGAAAGGGTAGTCTCGTCACCAGCCCCCTCACGACGTCCAGTATGGAGAACTTCGACTTCCTCCAAACAAGACGATGCATCTAGCGACTATTCTTTTAATTTGTCTGCATTATCACCGCAAACGCAAAATATTATTAACTCCATAGCCCCTAGTCGTGGTAATACTCCGAGCAGTTCGAGAGATCACAAAAAACGTTTTGCTGCAGACCGAGCCATGGTCGATGAAATACTGCGAGAAGCTAGAGCTCAGGCTGCCGCACGTGCAAGTACCAGTGCGTCATTGCCAATTACCCCTATTAGCAACGATCTCAGTAACAGCGCTAGTCAAGTAACTGATGATGCTGATGAGTGGAGCGTGGATGACGATGATGACAATAATGATGTCAATGGCACTGATGGACATAACGATAAATTACGTAGATCATCCTCGGTAAAGCCAAAGGCAGGGATTACTATTGATACAGCTACTTCGCGTCTTAAAAAAGAACAGAGATATATTGCGAGGTCTCCTACTTCACCACGTTCGACTCGAAAGCGAGCTGTTCTACGCAGAGCAAATGCCAAGTTGTTTCCAGTCCATTCATCTCCGCAGTCGTCTGCTAGTGCTAAACATGCAATGGACCCTCCAGAAGTCAATGGCAAAACACCGACAAGTAATATCGAAACTGTCGAAACTGGTGAACTTGACGAAATCGAGGCACAGTTCCAAGAAACTCTGACTACGTACACAAAAAGGTTTCAGAATTCTACAGTAGCATTGCAAGAACAATCTAATCTTATGAGGAGAAATCAAGATTTATTGCATCTTGTTGCTGCAAAGGAAGAAGAAATTGAAAATTTAAAGAGTAAGTTATATGAAGCTACCAACAAGCTAGACTCTTACGAGGCTGATTTAAAGGACGCTATTGCATTTCAGCTTGAACCTCTCGCTTTATCAGCAGAGGATTTGATACGTATAGAGAGAGAACTTGAGAACCAAGATGTTGCATTACGCAATTACCGGGCTGAGAATGACAAACTTAATGCACAAATAAAAGAATTGAAGGACCAATTAACAAATGCGGATAAGGAAAACGAAAAGTATTCCGCAAAAACGTCGGAACTAATGCGAGAACTAGATCATTTGAGAGCAATAATACTATATGACAAGGAGAACAAAGAGCATTTTTCAGAGGGAGTCCTACAACAGATGGAAGAAATGAATAAAGAAATAAGCAGACTGAAACAGATAGAGAAAGAATATGAGAAAGAGAAGGCCAAGGAGCAGCAAAAAGAGCAAGATAAGGAGGAGGAGGAGAAAGAACAAGACAAGGAGGAGGAGAAAGAACAGCAGAAAGAACAACAAAAAGAGCAAGAGAGAGAGCAAGAGAGAGAGCAAGAGAAAGAAAAAGAAAAAGAGATGTTGATATCACCCATGATGCCAATGTTACCACCAACGGGTATAATGCACGAGTTAGAAACTAAGCAAAATATAATTGAGGAGCTTGTTGAGAAACTAAAAAGAAAGGAAGAACAGTTAGAATATTATCAAAATCAATATCTCGCCAAGACTGAAGAATTAGAACAATATATAGAGCAGGGAGGGGTACCATCTAATGCGACGCAGAACGGAGGTGGTGGAAGTGACGGACATTTTACTAAAACGCCCAATGTTGTTGGAGGGAAGTCTGGAGGAAGTGCTGGTGCTGGAGGTGGTGTTAACGGTGCTAGGGCTATTAAATATCTCAATGACAATATACAATTAGATGATGAGATTGAAGATTTATCTTCTCTTCCAATTACGAGTGATTTATTGGCGTCTGGTATATTTGATGCATTGGGTGGTGATGGTGCGTTTACAGCCATTGAGAGGCTCATAGCATCCCTTGAGAGAACTATAATGGAAAGAGACGTGCAATTGAGTACTGCTCATCAACGTGCAGAAGAGGCAGAAAGAAAATTAATAAATTTATCGCGTGAGAAGATGTCATGGGGAAGCGGATATGACGGACGATTAAAACATCTGAAGAAAAAAATACAACAAATGGAAGAATTAATACAGATGGAAAGGAAAGATGCGCGTAAATCATTAAGTAGTCAAGCAAGTCAAGCGGACAATGACCGCACGAGAGAGAGTATTGGCCATTCCGATAACCAACAACAACAAGAATCGAATAACCAATCATTGCTTCAGCAACTAGATTTGATGTCACGGCAGATAACGACCATGGAAGAAAAGTTCAAGAAAAGAGAACAAGATTTGCAGAAAGTGATATCTGATATGGACAAACGTTCAAAAGTGCAGCTCGAAATGGTCAAGAAGAAGTGTCTGACCATAATTGGAAAGAAAAACGATAAATTAGAGGGCTTTAAGAACGAATTAGATAGTTTAATGGAGGCTGCTGGCCAGTAGGATATATGAAAGGCGATTAGTGTAAGTATTAAATCTGAGAGTGTGCACGTGAATTGTATATTTCTTCTCATAATTAATGAATAAATCACTCAGATATAATTTTGAAATATATATAAAAAAATATTATAATATGTTATCTACAGATACAACCTTTATATACATAATCCTTTATTCTATAGTCTTAACGGTTCCCTCATCAGAGCTTTTAATGGCAACTTTACTATTCTTCAACCTAGTAATCCCTTTATCCACATTCTCGATATGCAACTCTAAAGGTAAGTCAACCAACGATGGTTTCAGCACTTGTTCTCGCAGTTCTTCCAAGTCCGTTTGAAATGATGTGAGGCTGTACAACGTCATTTGTACTTGAACGACTGCATTTCGTCGTTGGCTGTCGAGTTGAGAGAGAAGTTCGAGATTTTCTTTGAACATGTGCTTTTGAATCCGATTTCCGCCGAGGACGGACCAGAGTTCGGCGAGAAGCTTCTCACGCTCGGTAGTTTGGAAGGCTTTTTCTTGGGTGACTAGTTCATGAATTGCTACTAGCATTTCATCTAGGACTGCTAGACTGCGCACGAGAAAAGGGAAATATTAATGTAATTTGTAACATCCATTGACACGAGATTATAAATCATGACATTTGAAAGCAATCACACATAATAACGTCACATTGCAAGCTTTATCTTTTCGCTTACTCACCTCCCAAGAGTATCCTGTGCCTTTATAATCATCCTTTCCAAATCACCTTCCATAAGAGACATCATATTTTCATATGCGCTTGCCAGCTCTCTCCTCGTTGCTCTCCCGTCTCTCACATTTTCCAACGTCTTCAAAGCAAACATGTTGTACGTTATCAGATTATCCAAAGAGCTTCTTGTTCGAGCCTGTAAGACTTGCAGGTCTCTACCGATTGACTTTGATTTGTCCATAAACTCACTCAATCGATTTACCAACTCTGGTGCAGTAGATAGCGTAGAATACTTCACCAACGTCCTTAAATCTCCGGTCGCCAATTCGGCTCGTTTTATGTCGAGTGCTAAGGAAGAGGTTACACCTTCCTTTGCAAGGGCTTGGTCCATTATTTGTTCATAGGTTTCGACCTGACGATCAACCAGGCGGGTAAAGTCAGGAATATGAGAATTGCACAGCGGCAAAGCAGAGGCAAAGGGGAGTTTGCATATTGTGAGAGTAAACTGATCTTGGACGGTGTTTGATAGGAAGGTGAGAGAAAAGTGTGAAATATAGACGGCGAGAAAGAGTGCAAGGAAGATGGATAGGATCGGTTTGAGCCATTGTAGAGCGCTAAGGACAATGTCTAGTTGTTTGGAATTTAAAAAGGGGGAAAGCAAGTTTATGTGTAAGCGAATCTCGGTGTCAATTCAACAACAAACTTCACGAATTGGAACAGTTGATTTGCATTATGAAAAAGTGGTCTCAGACAGTATTTGTTGAAATATCCCACTTTCTTCGCTGTTCTGCGCTCATTCTCTCAACGAAATTCTTATACATCGTTTAGAGATCTGACTTGCCCAAGAAAACTTGCATGGTTCATTATCCTACTGGGACTGGACAATAGATCTGCCCAACTAACCTACTAAAAGCCCTCCCAAAATTCGAAAGTTATCAATGATAGCCAGGTTTTGTTCGTTATTTATCGGTTTCTTTTTTGCTACTGGCCTGTTATTATCATCGTCGTTAGTTTCCATTTTGTTTTTGTGACGGTTAGCCCATTGTTAATTTGTGTTATATATGTATGGCATGCATAGTCACACAACAATAAATTTGTGATACAAGAAGTGGGACAATTCATCAACACTTCGATATAATAATAACAAGGTTTCTAAGAAAATAAACTTTTCTTGCAGAATGAACCACACACACGCACAAAACTGTCCAAAAACACATGCGGGCAACAAAGCACAAGACAGGTCGACCAGTGTCAATGGGGAAGAACGAATAGTGTTGAATGTAGGAGGCATGAAGGTTAATAGCTGTCAAAACACAGGATCGAGCATGTTTAATACATGTCTACACATGAGTTGGATACATTATATCTAAATTATATATAGTAATCGATCTTTATTGTTTATATCAAGTACGAGACATACAGATCAACCCTCCTGTCACTTCCTACGTCACTCTTGGGCACAATGTTCTCATCGCGAAATGCAATACTTCTCCATCCAACGAACAATAACGAATATTTCTTTGATCGTAATGGGAGGGCATTTCACTATATCATAGAATATTATCGTACTGGACAATTGCGCTATCCACCACCAAAATACTCATTAGTATCTTGCGAAGAACTAGAAACAGAGCTCGACTTCTTCCAAATTCCCATTCCACAACATTTGGTTCTGACGCCTAAAGAGTCACAACCAAAAGATCCAGCAGCAGCTACAGTTAACAGTTTTATCAGTATGTTACAAGCAGTTGTTCGTGAGATTCGGGCAAATTTGGAGACTAAGATTGAGGTTATTTTCCCGTGGAGAGACAGAAGTAGGTTTAGTGTTGAACCAGATATTGCTGCTATTACTGATTTAATTCGTCCTTTTGATGTTACCGGATATAATGTGCTCGAGGCATTTGGGAGTAAGATTGGCAAGTATTTGAAGAAAACTGTGTCCGGGTTGATTTGGATATTGAACGAGCGTGATGCAAGTGCCAATTATCCACCAAGGTTTTATTTGATGATGAGTTTTAGCGTTGATAGTTTTGACTTTCAGGCCATTGCAAAAGAGACTGTACTACGAGAATTAAATGACTCGAGAGAAGTGTACAGTGTATAAGTGACATTCTCACATGCACAAAATGTATTGATAAATTCTCTATAATAAACTATAATAATCGCCCTAATTCAAACTCAGATGTCTCAATTATTGTAAATGCTGTCTTTTATATCGTATTCCATTTTGAACAAATTTACATTAGTCCCATATCCTCTCGAACGAAAAGCTGTCTGGTATATACAATGTGATTTTTTTTGTGTACTTAATGACAACGTGTGACAAAATTCAGCGCTGAAGTTTATACATGAAACGGTTAATTAAGTCTGCGATTAACGCACAGATGATGCCGCAAGCGTATCGAACATTTTGGCCTAAACGTTTGAGATGGGAGAAATGATGATTGATTACAACATTGTCTCATGTTATTGTTATCGTCAGTGCAAAGAATCAAGACTCTGTACAAACCTTTGGCCGGATATCAATATCGCCGTAGGATTTCTTCTGCTGTACATCAATCACATCTTTTGTCTTCAATACTAACAACTCGAAGAACAGCTTTACGGCATCTTGTCTCTTAGCCTAAAGCAAACATACCGGATATACCGCCACAATCAGTCGAAATTCCCCATTTGTTTAATACCAAAACATTAATCCTTACCTTTCCAGCAACAGTTTCATAGCTGATGGTCGCTTTTTCTCTCAACCTTCGGCTTCCACTCTCATTTGACGTTCTCTCAAATTCACGCTGTAATAATCGCATAGCTTTGATAGTGTTCTTGCTAAATGCCGCCTCGCTGCCTGTCTGCTGATCTTGCGAATCGTCTTGATCAAATATTGTTACGCCTTGAGGAGAATCTAGAAATTTCGAAAGAAACAGGAAACGCACATGAAGGGATGAGGAATGATACGCCGCAGAAGAAAATCTTCAAATCGTAGAAAGTACCTTCATCATCAGCCATGTGTTCGGGTGACAGATTAGAATTATCATTACCAGAAACTTGCGGTGGAGAATCTTTTAAAGGAAAATAACGAGTTCAGAGATAGCAAGCATAATAATAACTACTGGGTATAATATCAATAACCAGTCAACTGACCCATATTATCATCAAAAAAGTCTGGTGCAAAATCTGGAGACATCTACAAGACAATATCCATACATATCGCATTAAACGTTTATTATTATAATTCAGATTTGTCTTCTCAAAGCATCACTTACCATATCATTACCAAGAGTTTGCTCTCCCTGATTTCCAAGAGCTTGCTCTCCTTGCTGGCCGCCTTCGACCTGTCCAGATTCCTCTTCCACGCTGGCTGTTAAAATACCGTTTTCCGCAGGCGTTTCGACAGCCGGAGTGTCCCTTTCGGTTTGAATACTATCAGTAGGAGGGATTGGTTCAGCTGGGGGTTGGGTTCGTATACGTTTTCGAGAGAATAGACGGTGCAGCTCGGGTAGAATATTGGCCGGAGCCGTCAAATCGAAAAAATAATATATTCCGAAATTACGGATTTCGCTTAAACGCAAAAGTTTACGTGATGAGGGGAGAAATGACGGCTAAGAAAGAAAATAGTTGAGAGGGGTAAGAGATGAGAGTAATTAATAATCCGTATCTATGGATCGAACTTGACAGTGAACTTGACATGAACATAATTACCTTGGTTATAATATCCGAGGTATCCTTAACCTGCGCTGCTATGTGTTTATTGGATAGTTCCGTAATCTCGTCGAGGATTTTTCTTTTTCTTCGGTTCGATGTTGTGATGGTTTGTTGAGGTTCTGCTTCCGGTGATTGGAATTGGAATTCTGTTGTTGGTTAAAGAAAATCGTAGATGTTAGGTTAATAAATGTATGTACGATTGGGACATTTCATAGATGCATTATACGCACGTTCTTCTTCATTATTCCGCGGAGAGGCGTCGGGAGCGAACACTGGCGCTTCCGAGTCGTCCACATTCCTGTTTGTACAAATAGATTTCACGTTTTAGTTGGAAATTATACATACGCGCACGAGCCAATAACATATGTTTCCATCTATCGTCAGTCAATCAAGTTTTATTCCTCACCTAGTGCCATCTTCTAATCTCAGATGTCGAAGTTCATCGCTCATTTGGAGTTCATGATCGAGATCACCTATCAAGACATTGACATCCACACCCTCCATCTCTGCGTCGTTTTCTGTTCTGTGTTCCAATAGTTGCTGTTCAATGTTTCCTTCCTGACCCTCTTCAACCCCGACTTCTCCTTCTCTGTCCAATTCACCTAACCCACGATTAATCTCTCCATCAAGATTCAAATTAGTGTCTTCTGATAATAAATGTTTATCAATGTCCATATCATTTAGACCGATGATATCTTCAATTTCCATTTCCGTCCCATGCGTAGCATCTCGTCGAGCGACTTCGACGTCTATAGCACGTGGTGAACCATGACTGCTACCCGACCCTTGAGCTATTCGAGGGTCGAGATCGTCTTCGAAATTCAGAACCAAGTTTAAGCCACCGTCTTCGTCAAATGCATCACCGAGCAAGTCATCGCCAACGGTGATATCGAGTGACATGTCGAATGAGTCGCGAATGGTAATGTCTTGCGGACGGGAAGTATTAGACGGTTGGTGGGATGACGCAAGAAGTGTCTGTGACTGGTCATCCCATGCTCTATTTCACAAGGAAAAAAACCAAGTTTGTGGGAGAGAGATATATCAAAAGTTAAAGCCCGAATTAGCAGGTAATTTACATTCGTCGATAAATTGTTTAGTTTGACAGTTACGCGAGGTTAAATCCGGGTTCGGGTAAAAGAATATCGTATTCTGTGATGTTATCCGGCAATGTGATGGCATGGAAACTGGCAACAGTCGACTCTTCGGGCATATCCACTACACCTGGTGTGAATGCCTTTAACAAATTAAATACATAAACCAGCGCCTTAACAACATGATACACTCAAAAAAACACGCTGTTCATTAAATTTTCAAACCCTACCAGTTTGATCTTCACCAATGCCTCATTACAGTCTTCTAGTAAATATCTGGCTTTGCGTGAATATATACGAACCACCCCAAGTAGTAATTGGCCTGATAACCGTAAGGCCATCGGTGGTTGGTCACCGCCCAGGATTGCACCTAAAGTGATAGATTTGCGTCAAATGAATAAATTCAAAAGACGACAAGGCACCATAATAGTTGCGGCTAACGGCGGTGTTGAATGTTTAAAGTGATCTGTAAAGAAAACGCGAAGCCTAACTCACCAACAGAGTTCTGTATATTAGTCTGTAAGAATTGTGTTTTACTCAATTTGCGTTCCCAGTGTGCGGCTAGCCATACTTTGGCTAATGGGCCCTATTTTGTTTATTTTGTTATATTAGTTTCCTCTGGTGTTAGCAGATAGACGCACACGCACGTCCAAAAAACGTGTATATTGATTGCTCGATTCTTGTCTTGTCTGCTGTTATACCTTTTTAGATAATATAGCCTCCGAATAGAACATTTACTTTTCTATTGCTTGTTTAACTATTATTGATATCGTTATGAATTTATAGTGCTCTTTTTTGAATTGTAAAGTTTTAAGGAAAATACTGAACACGAAGAGAGAATGACACTAAAAAAATGAGCGGCACACTCTGACTTTTGTTCGGTAATGTGTGCTAATTGGGTATATTGATGACGTCATAATTAAACTCGCCAATTGCTGATCATATAAGAGATGATGGAGTATGAAATGGGCAGTCTTATAAAACCGTCGATTGCAGTGTTCTTTTTATTTCACTTCACAGTAACATAATCTCACCGAGATTACATCCGCCGGCTTTTCGTCGAATCTTTCTATAATTACTTAATGAGCTGGAGGCGGGGTGAAAAGAGTGTCAAGAGAAGATGGTCGATCTTCCAAACCGGCCAATAATTCATTCTCCAAGAGCGTCTCAAAAGCAGCCGCTTCTGGTTCTGGCTCGTCAACTTCATATGACGCCAATTGCGTTGAATAATCTTCGTCGATCACGGGAGGCTGAAAATTATAGGCATCAAACAACCAAGCAATAAATATCAAGACCAATTACTACTAATAAGATGCTTGCTCATCCTTCGCTAATAAAAGATATTCGAACCTCTTGTGGTGATGGCATGTGCAAATCTTTCGCCGCACCAACTTCAGCTCCCAGTTTCTGTATGAGGACATCATACTAGTTAGTGCCGTAATAAACTCCTCTTCCCTTCCGAAATAAAAGAAAAGAAAAAGAAACGATTTATCGTACCTCTAGCGAGGGTTTGTATTGTTTGATTTCCTTCACGTACAAGTCCAAAATCACATCTTATAACGGATTATCGAGTTGTTGGTGTAAGAGAGTGAATACTAAAATAAACACATTAAAAACTAAAATCAATTAAACCTTTCATGAGCGGAGCCGAGGGAGCAGAGAACTTCCTAGCAGCGACATTGGATAGCCGTGCATTAGAAGCTGTTTGCAATAGTGAGTGCTATGCAGATATTGGAGAGAATAGCAAATATTGTATCAAGTTATTGCTTGAGAGGTGAAAGAGCAACAATCTTGTCGTCTGGGTTCCTTCAAGGGTTTTTGAGGCGCAACCCTCAATTTACAGGTGCGCTAATGATTGAACATACCGTAAGGTTAGAGGAGCGAAGGAACAAACGAGATCCAGCCATCAATGCAAAGAAATATTGTCATAAGGGAATGTTTGCTCTCCATCTCAAGAATGGACAAAACCCCGATGATTGGCTGATTGGTAAGTAATACTAGAAATTTTTGTTCAGCCGTGTGATCACATGAAGTCGAGAGTATGTTGACGTAAATTCTAAAATGCTATATACTATGAACGCGCCGCCTGTAACGACATATACACATCGAATATGTAAGATGTAATAAAGACGGGCGCTAAAAAACTTTATAATAGATCAGTTCTACATCATTCGTGTGTGCCTATTTTTGAGGCTGTTAGTTTGCTCAATAAAAAAAGTTAAACCGCCCTTTTTATACATTGCCGGATGGTGGTCGTTAGATGGGGTTTTCCGTAGCTATGTTAGCATTCGCTCGCTCTCGCACCGTATAAATTAGACAGAGCCCGGCAATAATTAAAGTCAAGAGCAATCGGGTTTTAACTTGTATTTAATTTTTCTGATGTTAACCATAGCCCTAACCCTAACCCGCTTAGTAATTCATCTGTTTCGACATTCCTTCATTAATATCCAAGCATTCCTAATTATCACATCGTCATCAGGTTCAGAATTATACCATATGACGAGACGATACGCCAAAATAAAGAAATTACGGACGTACCCCGTCGCACGGGCCGTGCGCGAGCGGGAACATGATTAAGTTTTAGTCGTAAAATTAGACCACAGACTATCCAACAACGCACCCAAGACTCGGATATTCCGGTTCATATGATCCGGAAATTATTACCATACTAATACTGATTAACATAACGTGGATTTTACTGTGTCACAACGTCTAATACTATTTATCCGTACACTAAACATAGAAAATCCCATTTTGGTCCATCAAAGAATGGGAATTACTGATGGAACGAACTCGGTTGAACTCTGCGAACTAGAATTACCCCTTCTCTACGATGGTATTAGGCATGGCTGTTTCTGAATATGCCGTTTCTACGCTGAAACTTATGGCGGTAGTCGTAATTCTCTTCAATTACAAATCTTGGCCATTGGTTTATCATATCCGAAGCTATTTTGCTTACAGAAAAGGGTTAGAGAGACTGCGCGAGAAGCAGAAGAATTTGTTTTACATTTCAGTACAGAATCATAGATTATGGCCTGATGATGTGAGCGATTTCATAACGAACCTTATAGAGTGCTTGCCCACCTTTTGTTCAGAGATTTAACATTTATTTCTCATAAACTAGATGGATATAAATTTTCACATGAACAACAGGTAATAGAAAACACGGATCATCCGTTTGTCTCGACAATACAAATCGTGCTGAATATTTCTTCCGTTTAGTTCATATAATAAGCTCTTGGATTACGCCCGCTATGCCCATGTGACTGGACAATGGGGCACTCCATTGATCAAGAAGGAATTATTTATACACAACGCAGGTAATCACTTTACTCCTCTCTCGTATCTACCGAGTGATCATTTAATTTGTCTATTGCTTTCCTGTAATAACTCATGTGCTTGTAGGCATTCAAACGTTCTTCAAGAAGGAGATCCCACCATTTGCAAAATTCCTAGTCGAGACACGTCTTCTCACCTGGAATGAAAAATGGATGTTTCTCATTCATCGCTTTGTTCTGGCAAAGACAAAAGTAACTTCGTGCATTTGTACTTCTAAATTGGTGTTCAAGCAACCGAATGGAAAGACTGTCAAGCCAGAGGATGTATTCGAATTGTGTGGATACGTTTGTAATAGTGAACAAGAACGGCAGTTGAGAGACATGTTAAGAGATAATGGAATGAAGTATGCCGAATCTATACTTCAAATGGATGGGTTATTCGAGGAGAGCGAATTGTGGAACGAGAATCAACTGACTACTTAGAATTTTAATAATAATTAGTGATTAAGTTTCTAAATGCAAATGGGTGTCTCTATTACCACAAAATATCCAGTGGATTTACTCATAATAACTGTGACAAAATGGACTTTCAATAAATAAAGTACACCCTATCGGTGTTAACCAAAATCTTCAGGGTAAGGATGTTAATCAACATCTATTTCAAGAATTGCCATAAATCCACCTATGAGATGCAAACTTCCCGTGACTAAGACCTGCAAACTCGCGTCAGTTCTTTTGTTATATTCTGTTATCCAGTTTATTGCATCTTCAATAGTCGGTAGGACGTGAGTATCGCATGTATGTCCAGTGTTCTTTGGCTTTATTACCAACCCCTTCCATTTCTCAGCCATCATGTGTTGTAGTTTTAGTGTAGGATCATCTTCTACTGTGTTATGATGCAGGTCTAGTGTAGTGGTACAGGATTCAACAAAATGGAATAACAACATATTATTCAAGTATAGGTTTAATCATAATCAACTGAACAGCACTTACCAATATTGTAATTATTTGTCAAAGATGGTAAGTTGGTGCAAAATATCGCATGATGAAATCTATTTTTTTGATGTATCAAACCAAGTTCTTCCAACATCGGTTGTCCAATACGATCTTTGGTGCAGCTGAATAGTAAAATTCTATCTGTGGTCTCGCTAAACAAGACAAAGAATTAGCAGCTAAAATTTTAAGCCTGGTAAATCAGAAATTTCCATTAAATATATTATATACTGCTTACTTGGATCCTGCATCTTGATCTGTTACATCACCGAACCATCGTGCGCAAGCCTGAAAAATTTGCAAACGGAGGCACAAATTAGGTGATTAGAAAGTCAAATACACCATTTACTGATTCAACTTCCCTACCTTGACACTTTCAGCTGTATGCGCACCATCAAGGAACCAGGTAATCTTGGGATACCTTTGATCCTTAACTATATGTCCACGACCAGGGTAGTGAGCTGATTGCAAACCTTTCATAAATTCCTTCGGAGGATTTTGTTCCGAAATTCGAATATTATGACATCGTTGGAGCCAAACCCGACATAATTCGATGGCAAGAGCAGCATTCGCAAATTGATGATCTCCTGGTAAACCTTGTATGGAAAGGAATAGAATATATTAATGCAGCTGGAACAACCAATGATAATCCAAATTGTACTAGTACTAACCCAAAGTAGCACCATGCAAGCTTTCTTTGGTCAAAGGTTGAACTTGTTTCAAAGGAGCCTTTTTCGCGAACCACAAAAAAAATTGTTTATCCGCAAGTCACATCAATGTTCAACAAAGTTTCAACGTTCTATATAATACACATTTTTCGCGGGCCAAGACCTTAGACAAATTGAGATTCAAAAATGAACTCAGGTTCTAAGCAGGCCATGTTTGACTCAATCAGCTAATCTCTCCAAAAACAATGACATTAAAGCCATTTCAAACAGGGATTCCAAAGACTCAATCTAGTGTTAACACGATGGCAAACGTTTGCCAATTCGATATTGAATTGGCTTTGTATTTGGTAAAATATCTCCAAAGTAAATCAAACTAGGTCCTGAACCACATACTGTTTGTTCAGTTTTGCCTCAATTTATCATCAGTTGGCAACCGCGAATAACACGAAACAATACGGCAAAAAAGCTTTGATGTATTTTTGTCAAACTTACCTTTATGTCTTCTGCACGCTTAATCAACACTTTCATGGCTTCTGTCTGTTGCTCGACTGTGATAGCAGGTACACCATGCTAAATTAATTGAAGCAAAAAAAAAAGTCAAGTCAGTAGCTAAAAAAGGGTTTTAACATTTTCCATCGACATACTTACTTTAAATATTCCACCTTTGTTCCAAGCTATTGAAGCAAGGGTGTGACCTAAAAGAGACTGATGCTCATAACCAAGAGATGCAACTCCACACACAATTGGCTTCTCGATAACGTTTGTTGGATCGTACGCCCCACCAATACCGACTTCGATGATTGCTACATCAACCTGCACCCGGGATGTTAGAAGATGATGGTATCAAACGTGCATAAACATAATTACGATAGGGATACCTTTTTTCGCATAAAAGTATGGAACGCCAAAAGAGTGAGAAAGCGGAAATATTCTGGAGTGCCAATTGGAATATCATCGATCAACTAAAAATTGAAAAAAGCTTCTTGTCAGCAAAGTTTTCGCAAACACTTAACGATTAGCGAAACCGACCATTCCCGGATTGGCTGCTTCGGCCTTATTTAATCTTTCATAAACTTCGAAACAGTAATTAGTAAAATCCTCTTTATTCAATTTCTTCCCATCAATCCTAATGCGCTCACGAACCGATCTAAGATGAGGGGACGTATATGTGCCTATGCAAAGGAAAAAAAAGTGTTAGAAATTAGAAGTGTTCAGAAAATACTTTAAAACCACGTGTATCAAAGCATATACCAAAACGAAGTCGAGGCATGCCATCCATATGTGTGAGATTCCCCAGTATGGATTCAGTAAACATGCATACGGATCCTTTTCCTTTAGTACCCGAGATGTGTATAATATTCAGCTTATCGAAATCCCTTGACTATATAAAAGTTAGTCGATATATGGCTTCGTCTTATCGCATCATAAATTTTCCTTACAACCTCATAGCCAATTCTCCTGCAATATTCCCTCATTTCGGGTAGACTTCTATCATTAAGCTTACCACCAGACTGACGTATGCTTTCAAGGACCGAAGCGTTAGTTTTTAAAGTACCCAAGAATTCTATTGCTTTCTTGTATAATCGAAAGAATTAATGCCTATGTACCATAATGCAGCGTCAAATTCTGTCATTTACCTCATATGATTTCTCCATCCTTTTCGTCGCTGATACACTAAAGTATGTCTTGAAAATTAAGTGCTTGAAATCAGCTCTAACATGAGGCATACCGTGCAAACACGGGTAAACAAAAATTTGTGTGAATACTGTATTAGTACTAGGCTTGTTTCAAATCAAAATTTAAAACAAATCAGTTCAAGGTTACCAAATTAGCGTGTCACGCATTTATTATTCAAGAAAAAGCGTTTACTTGAATACATTTAGTTGCAACGAGAAATAATCTTACAGTCTGAAGCTGGTAACAAAAATACAATGCGCAGTTTGGAGATGGATGGTAAGAGTTAATTCTAGCTAACATCTTAAAAACAGGTTACCACATATTAATGTTTGGCTCGTGTTATTGTGAAGTCATTTAATCAACAATATTAATATTACGAAAAAAAAATATATTGTCGCTGTGATTAGAGTTTTGATTCACCGGATCAGGTCCAGAAAGGCATAGTTATAATGCAGCACGTACATTCCCACCAGAATAAACGAGTTATAGGACGTTTTCTGAGACTTGGTCTGGAAGAGGAAAGTCCACGAGAATGATGCGTTTTCATAGCTTGTGTGACAGTCTCGCTCAAAAAGCTAAATTCAAACATAACGATCCAAACTATCCCACTGTCGTTTAGTCAGCGATAGAATCTAAAGAAAAGCTTGGTACGATAGACATAAACAATGACGCGCTTTATTACTATCTTCATTCTGCGACAATCGGCCTGCTACTATAATGCATGTTCAACCTTCAATGCTTGTAATTATAATATGAAAGGATACAAGTCCAAACATATTACATTCCTGATAGTGTCGCATGTCTTTACATCTGTTATACATAATCTGCGAATGTCATGTTACGCGCATCGTTCCCAATTGTTGCTTTTATTCATCACAATTCGTTCCATTCTTTTCCTAGCGTCTCTCCATTTGAGATGTCTAACCAATATTGATATCAAAGTTTTTAGCATGTCGGGATCACAGACATCAATTCGTCTCGAAAGTTTTTTCTAATTATGATATTAATTATCGATTTTCTGCACATCGTGTAACGCACGCTAATATCGGCGGTGACGTTTCACTTGACAAGAGTAATCGTAAAGTTAGCTTCCCAATCCTGATTTGTCGCATGCCTGCAGTATGTCTATTATCATTTTGACAGGTCCCCCTAATGCTAATTATAACCGATATCACAGAATGATGTCATCATCAGATGCTTCAATAATGCATACTGAAGACATCTATGAACATTCATACACAAAAACCCATCACATCACCACGGACCTCAAATGACACACCTATCAATTCAACGAACATCTTACTCACAACAATACTACCCAGAAACACTTCTCACTCCAGCAACCACTTCTACTCGCGCACACCATTCTCAGCAACAACAACAACAACAGCAGCAGCAGCAAACACCACCACCAACGTTACCACACCAGCAAACACTCCCCGGCTCGTTTCCCACTTCACGTACTTACGCAGAACAGCCAGCCCAATACTCACAAACCTCTTCACTCCACAGTCGAACCTCTTCGCCTCCCTCTCTCACACCTTATGCTAGCGACATGAGTGTAAAGGGGACCAGAGACATGAACGGAGTAGCCAGGAAGGATATGTACGAGTACCAGGCACCATGGAGTGTATATGGATTGGACTGGAGTAAGCGGCCTGGTGACAAAGCATTTAGATTGGCACTCGGAAGTTTTATAGAAGAATATGCTAACAAGGTATGTGAATCTTGAGGATGAGGAGCAAAATGGGATAGAATTTAAAGCGTGCAATGCGCATTAACAGTATTGAATGCATATTAGCTGAATATGAGAATAAAAAATTTTTATACAAAGGCCAACTATAATGATTATAACGTAATTGTGAATTATGGTATAATGACTACCCATGAGAAACTGTCAAAAAAAGTATAGTATAAAGTCATTTAAATAGGAGATAGAGGTTAGTGAAAATAATGTGTCAAATTGTCAAGCAAGAGAATGGATCAATGACGGTACCAAAAGCGACGGGCGAATTGCAATGATAACAACAACGATAACAGCAGACAACAACAACAATAACAACAACAACGACGACGACGACGACGACAACAACAACAACAACAACAACGACAACAAAAACAACAACAACAACAACAACAACAATAACAACAACACAATTCACCGTTACAATAATGTATATAGTTAATTATGCCAGCTCCGGCTTTAAACCTTGTCTCTGAATGAATGAACGAATGAACGAATCGATCAATCGATAGTCAATCAATCAATCAATCAACTACTCGTTGAAATCTAATTCTTGTGTTTAATTCTCATTCAATTTCAGTTACAAATAATAGCATTATCAGACACAGTTTATGATGATCCCTACCAACGCCCGTCTACTGGCGATTTTATCAAAATAGCTGAAGTTGATCATCACTACCCCATAACGAAAGTGCTATGGGAACCAAATAAGGTACGATAGAGAGGTAGGATTAATGGGAGAAGCAACTACAAAAACCCAAGCAATATTCATTTTCCGCGTCCATAATTGACTGATTATATTAATCATAAAAAGGGTGGTCTAAAAACTCCCGACCTGCTCGCCACGACTGGCGATCACTTACGTTTATGGGAGATTGTAGATGATGTTAACACTACGGGTAATACCATTGGAGTGAATAATGGAGTTGGAGTGCGAACACAGAGATTAAATCATCGGCAATTGTTAACGAACGTAAGTTTCGGCTATGTGGAAAAAAAGTGGAAGGAGGATGCTACTGGAAAAAAGTCTTCAGAATGCCTTTTAATTTATATTTTCTGACAACCGTCAACATATTGACGTTATCAGGCCTCTCTTCTTATTCTTTCATCATCATCCTATTATATACCCTCGCTTGACTTTTCGTTCCCTCATTCCCTCTGATTATCTCCCATTTTTAAATCAGACCAAAGCAGATTTTAACGCGCCACTAACATCCTTCGACTGGAATGAAATCGATACTTCCTTGGCAGTAACTTCGAGCATCGATACGACGTGTACTGTCTGGAATGTAGAAACTACACAGGCAAAAACACAGCTTATTGCACATGATAAAGAAGTATACGATGTTGCTTTCGCGTCGGGGAGCGTAGATGTCTTTGCAAGCGTTGGCGCAGATGGGAGTGTAAGGATGTTCGATTTGAGGTAAATTTATGCTCAATCCTACGACATTGTTATTATTTCCAAAAGTCAATTTATTATTTATAACAGGTCATTGCATAATATCATACTCTACAATTTTCCGTTTGCGATTTTAAAAGATCATTAGAACACTCGACGATAATCTACGAAACGCCCACAAATCCACATCCATCCCAACACTCTGTCTCTAATCCGCAACTGTCTCTTCTTCGGCTGTGTTTTAACAAACTCGATTCCAATTATCTTGCCACATTTCACATGGACTCTCCCGATGTACAGATATTGGATGTTAGAGTTCCTGGAATGCCTGTTGCAGAGTTGAGGGGTCATACAGCAACCGTTAATTGCATTTCCTGGGCACCTAATAGTTCCAGTCTTCTTTGTAGTGGAGGTATGAAAGAAATGTACATGGCAAGGAGAGAGGGGTAATAGGTTTATATAGAACGCAAGGGCTAATTATGTCCATCTGTCGGTTGTACTTAATGAGTTTATTTGCCTTCCCGGTTCCCCATCACCCCAACACAGGCGATGATTCACAAGTACTAGTATGGGATGTCCAACTTCAATCACCAGTTTCTCCTCCCCATCCCAGTCCGCGTGAACTCCAACAAGTTCCATCGCTAGCTTATAGAGCGTCGGCAGAAATCTGTCAATTAAGCTGGAGTTCGGCTTCACCTTCATGGGTTGCAATAGGATTTAACAGGACTGTTCAAGCATTGCGAGTATGATTACGGGTGTCAGAAAATGATGTGTATCATGCGATCTGTCTGAACGCCAGATACCAAATAAAGTACATATGAACAAAGGTTTAGCCTCTCATGATCACATTTGAAATCACCCAGTTAGTAAATATGTAAATAAGATTCCCATTAAAATTGTTTACCAAGATCATAGGATTCTATCTTGCGTATTAGAAGAGCGGTAAGAAGCAACCCCATTTTTAAGTTATTAATACAACAGAGGATGAGGTGGCTAATGGTTAGATTAGGAGAATTGAAGATGACGATGTTTAGCATGAGCGTCTCTCAAGGTGGCAAGAAACATAGTTTTCTCTTTTTTGTTTTTTTAAGAGAATAAATTAGGCACGTGGAAATAATGAATTGGATCTCCACAAAAAGAATATCACATTTATTAACAGTGTGTATCAAGTGTATAATAAAGCAGAATCTCTAATATCAAGGTTTTCTATAACAGCTATTATCTCTAGACCATTATACAATATCGGTAGCTGAGCTTGTCGCATACATGGACAGATTCTTCTGTTAGGCCATTCATTATGAAACCACTGCTACCTGCTCGATTGCATCACCTCATGTCTTGAGAATGCAAGTCTCTCTCTCTGCAATCACATATACATTACGAGTAATCGATATATCATGTATAATCTTCGCTTGTGTAAGGAAAAAAAGCCCACTCTAGCTTGTGATCGATTTGTGTTGCCTTGTTTTAATTGCATAAGAATACAGATCACAGAGAATGACAGTGTCCACGATACCCCGAGTCGATTTATCTAAAAAAGTTCATATCTAATTCAGTAGTAATTAACCGCTTATCGAATTTTAATGCTTATGCACGGTCGCACTGCTGGGCCATTACGGTAGTCGAATTTACAACCAATCAAACCAACATGGGGTAATACTAAACAATCGTGTAAATCAGATAGTGTCTCTATAGTAAGGTCACACCTGACGATAGCGCTTGCGAGTGAACAATATTAACAATATAGTCGGCATATTAATATGTAAACAAATCATTAAGAAAATATTTGTCACTTTTCGACGTTCTGTTGTTAAAGAAAAAAGTATGACAAGCATTCTTTTACATAGTTGTACATTACATTGCTCCTTATCGATGCGTGATTATGCGTCTGGATGCTGTCGACTCTGTGTTCCTTTGCATAAGAAGTATCTGGACCAGTTAATCTTGTGAATTGGGAAATTAGCGATACGAATTCATGCGAGACGTTTCCATATTGGACGAACTTACGTTCTCTGGCAAAACACGTGAAGAACAATATTAAACCTTATCGAATTATCATGCTCCGATCACACATGTCGCAATTATAATAAGACTATAAATGGAATATATCAAAGGTTCTACATATAACGTTAGCAATTTGAGTGGTACTATCATTCACGGAGAATTTCTTGTTTGAGTAAAAACCATTTATCGATTTTACAATGTATTTTTAATAAAACTTAATTGTCTTAGCCTAATGGATTACACTAAAGAGATTCCTAATTCGAAATATACTACATGAAAAATCTGTCAATTATTTGTTCTTTATTATCTGCGTAATCAGCTCTATTTTTCATATATTTAATTGGACGCAATCCTAACTATTTTCTAGCAGATGTACAGGTTTTTTCTGCTCGTGTACATCCTTGTCAAAAAAAGTTCTTGTGATTAATTGGATACCCGTACGTGGATTGGGACTTGAACCAATAAAAATCAAACCAGACAAACTAGGAAAATAGATTAAATTAAATAAGCAAGAAGCAATAGTAATAGTAACACCAGCAGAGTAATTCCCATGATATGTATTACCAAGGGGAAAATGCGTCGAATAATAAATAATCGAATACAATCGAAAGTGGGAATATCTTGAAAGAGGATGGACCCCATCAGATTGCACACCTCAAAAATGTTAATGTCTTGACTGCATGCGAGATAATGCGCTTTGTACGAATGCTGCCGCGAAGCTGGCCTTTAGATATAAAAGGAATTGATTGGGATCTTGGTTTATGCTATAACTGTACATACTAATACCCAGGCTCTGCAACCGGGTTTGGGTTATTGATGAACGTTTGGCATGTGATAGTTTAACATAGTTTGTGGTTGGATAGGTATATTTGCATCAGATTGAGGAGTCCTTTGTTATCCTCAGGGGTTAAAGTAAGAAACTCGA